TAAAACAAAAAATTTACAGTATCAGGTAAAAATCAACTCTCAAATTTCACCGCATGTAAATCATCCGAGTAATTCATAGCTACAAATACACCTAACAGCATCCGGTATTCATTTTCTTTCTTTTAATTCCGATGCCGAACGCCATTCCATTGATCCTACCTGCAGAATGAAAGCCAGAGATGAAATTACGAAGAATTGCATGGTAAATGAACGTCCACTTGGATAAATTTAAGTTCTGTACAGTTTATCAGAGAAGCTGCCGAACTTCGAATGTCGTGTGATAAGCCACGGAGATTGAGTTCATCACCATAACGTGTGTTTATTGCTTCTTAGTTTCTCCAAACTCATATGAATTTGAAGAAAACGGACAATTCATAACAGTTACAGAAGGAATTTTGGTGGAACAAAAACAGATATATTCCACCCCAATAGTCTGATTTTGATTTTTTTTTTCTTCATGCCAAACAAACGTTTTCTTTTTAGCCAAGCTTGTTGGATGAATCAATGGTTGACGTGCTTCACCCCATTAATAGACGGAGCTGCACCCCTGGTTTCCCTGACATATGAGACATAATCACTATAGGTCAAAGTAAATAATGTGCTTTGGTAACGAGTCACTCGTATAGACTTCCGAAGTGAATCCGTAATGTGGCCACTGAAGCCTGCTTTGCGCGTCAGCGAGTCAATTGCCTCCTCTCTCGTCCAACCTGAAACCAAAAGGCCAAAATTATAAGCAGGTGATCGACAAAGAAAGCTTACATGTGTGGGTCGGTGTGAGACTTTATAGCGAATTAAATAAGAAAAATCTCCCATTCTAGCAAAAACAAAATCAGAGTAAATAACTCAATCTGTACGTCTTGGCCAATCTACCAGAATTAAATAAGAACACAATTGACTAGGGTCACCATAAATATCAGGAATACGCATCCCCTCCCCCTTCCCCGTTCTATTTCTCTGATTGCGCTGTCCACTTCTCTCGGATAACAAAAAACAACTCAATCTAGTTCACCGGCATGCAGTAAACAACCACTTTACCTTCATGGGCAGCCACTTCAGGCAAATAAGTGGCACTTCGCCTTGCATTGTTATTAGGGTCAGTAAACTCAATAATCAAACCATGCTTCCCAACCTGCAAGTCAGAATCACATAATAAGTTGGAAAGGCAAGAAAATGAAGAGGGTCACCAGATTCTGTTAAACGCACAACTTGAAAGCATTTGCACAGAGAAACTTAGACATGTTTCCATTCATTCCACGTTAAAATTCATTTGAATAATCAAGCATTGCACCAGCAACACAGCTTATCAATCCCACCCATGGCTTGAGGAGTTGTGCCACGATGTGTCTTCTGAGCATCCAAACATGAGTGCACTCAAAAGTAGGTACATGGAGAGCTTCTTTTCACTACAACTTTCAAGGTCAACATCTACAATTTAGATTCTTTTTGTGAAATTCTTGATAAAAATTTAAACAAGAGTCATCACAGAAATGTATCTTTGGAATCTTATTTAAGGGAAATGGCATTTTTTGGTAATAAATGATGGAGCGGGCCATTATGAAGTTATAACTGAAATTTAGCAGGTGGCAAGCTTTTTGTTTAGTTTGTCTTCTAATTTTGTAAATCTATGGGAGATACCTGTTAACAAAACATTAAGGCTCGGCATGTTAAAGCACAGCCACAGTGTGAGGTGTTTTTTTGTCAATGGAAAACTGTCAGACTATATGAAATGGAAAACATGACTCAGTATAATACTATCCACAATAAAACTTGGTAATTTAGATATTAGAAAGTATCCTAACCCCACTGTTCCAAAAACTCAAGCAAGTTAAAGCACACACCTCCCAATCAAGATAGTGGTTGGCAGTTTCATAATCAGTCAGGATGGAAACTGTGCATTCCAGAGTAGGCAATTCTTTAGCTTGTATAGGAGGGAATCTGCGGTCCCTCAAAGCACTGCAAGAAAGTAAAAATGAAAGTATGGAGCCTCATTAGTATGCCATACCAAACCAGAGTCACACAATGGGGAACAGCACAAGAAGGAGAATTAGATATAACAAGAGAATGCATCTGTGGTGAACCATTTTAAGTTAAAATAAATAAAAAGCAAGGTTGCAGGACCAAACTTTATAGAAATATATTTAAATGGTTGAAGCATCTCCCAAGTTTTTTCTTTGGAGTGGGGGGGCATGGGAGGAATCATTGACTTCTTCACACTTGACAGTCTCCGAAAGGAAAACAATTAAGATTTTTTTCCCTCTCTACAAGAATCCAAATCCATTTTCACATGCTCTCCAACTAGAATGTGATCTAAGCAAATCCTAGCAATGGCTACTCAAAGGATAAGCAGGGCTGGATGTTTCTAAAAGGAACAGAGCGGGTATGGGCCTGGAAATGTATATGCTTTTTTTACATGAAGGGGGAGGGAGATCCATAATTCAACAGAAATATATATGACAGCTACATAATTTGGATATAAAAAATAACAATACCTTGTTAAAGCATAGTCCCGGAATGCAGTAATTATGTACTGAGCTTCCAAAGTTCCAATGCATCCACGTAAACAAGGCTCACCTCCATTGACAACTTTCTTCCAAGTGACGAACAACGGGCTAAAACAGGAATACCACCATGTCAAATATGATCAGTTCTAGTGTGCATAACTGACAGCAAATACTTCTACACAGCACATTATCACTGTAATTCCAACTCTCAACAATTACAAAATTTTCTCGAAAATCATCTAAGACAGCATTCCCAACAAGTATGAACTTGTTAAATATCATCTAACACTGAGTTTCCATCAAGTAAAAACTTAACAAAAAATCAACACTTCTATGGAACCTCACAAAGAAGTGCCAAGTATTCAGAGAAACCATGACATGCTATCGTTAAGCAATAACGGCACAGCTGAGAGATTGTTCAAGTTGTCAACACAACATGAAAATCAACGAATCTCAAAATCTGAGCTGTCAATATTCACCCAATCTATGCAATTCAGCAAATTGCTGACTTGACAACTCAATCTTCACGGTAAATAATTGTCAAGAGACCAAGAATTCAGACAACAGGTTAAAAACAACATAAGTTGCTGTCACCAAAAAACTGTACAGATAAAACATAACAATGCAAAGGAGCAAAGATGGCATTCTGACAAAAACATGTTTAACTGAACTCCACTAAATAAAACAATTTGATACGGCTAGCTAAGTGAAATGTAGAGTTTTAGCAATAAAAAGTCGCTCTCTTTCACTGTTTCCTCGGAGCATAAACAAAGAAATTTAAGCACACTTAAAATCTGGCTCTATTTCACAATAAAAAGATCTAACATTTTTTCCTTGGGACTTAGAACCATGATTTTCTTAAAATACAGCACTTTTGTAAGATGATTAGTGGAAAAAATAATGAAAAAACGAAATAATGCAAGATTTAATGAACAAATCATTGAAAGAAACGCATGCACAGCATCATCCATGGCAAGTACAGTGGGAAAAAAACAATAACTAGTCAAAAATCGAAACTTTGCGATATTAACGAATCCAGAAAACAAAAATAAAAATAAAACCCAATTAAACCTGCAAAGCACAAACAGAATTCCACGCAATCAAGCAGCTTTTCCACTCAATTCGATCCCACAAAAAAACACTCAAAAGTAAACTAGCAGCCACAGAACAATCGAAATTCAAGAACCCACTTCAAATGCATGCGCGTATACTTATACGTGTATTTATAGATTGACGAAGAGAGTGAACTAGAGATTACTGTTGGCCCTCATCAAAAGCAGGAGAAGGAGCATCCTCAGAGTTGTAGTGAGCAACAAGAGTATCAAAGCAATATACAGCCATTTCTCTATTTGCAGCCACCATGGTTTCTCCTTGCTTTCCTACCTTCCACCAACTCTCTCTCCCTCTCTCTCTAAAAGTAACCAACCAAAAGAGCAAAAAAGAAATGATCTTTGATGGGGTAATACCAATAAATCAATGAAACAGAGAGGCACTTTTGGTCCCCTGTTATGATGGAGAGAGACAGAGAGTAAGACAGAACTGACGAGATCTTCTTTCTTTCTTCCTTCCTCGTTCGGTGTCATCTTTTTCGATATATAGACCATGGTTTTCTTTGCCAGGTTGAAATTCTTTTTTATTTTATCCCCTCAATTTTCCCTTAAGGCCTCAACTAAGTTTTCTTCACTTGTTTTTTTACTTTATTTTTTGGATAGTTATGAAGGATTGTTTAGATGCATTTGATAATCTTTTCTTTTTTATTGAATTTTTTTTTAAATGAAAATCTCATATTCAAATAGAATTTATTAAAGGAGTTATGTTTTATAAAAGTTATCAATTCACGTGTTTTTGTTATAATAAATTCTATAACAATTCTCGTTTGGTATTACATTCTAAATAAGAATTGAGTAATTTTTTCATTGAAAATTATTTTTTATATATATTTTTAAGTTATTTCAATATTTTAATATCAAAAATATTTTTTTATATATTTATGAACTAAAAATACTTTAAAAAATAAATATTATTATACTTTTAAATATCTTATAAATTAAAGTTTAAATATTAAATGCTATTATAATATTTAAAGATGTCTCTTTTTTTTCTTAGTTTTATAAATTTTAAATCTATAGATATTATTTATAAAAGATTATTAAATTAATTTAAAGGCACTAAAATAATGTAAAACAGGTGTCTTTTCGAATAGATTGGGACGGTGACTGTGTTGTTAAAGCTGCTGAAACCTGTGGGGTTGCAGGTAGTCAACATTCCGACTCCAAGCATGCATAGTAAATAAGTGAAAAAATCTTTTAGCCTGATGATAAACTGACAAAGAAAAACAGCGAGATGAAAAAAGACGAAGAAATCTTTCCATTTGGCATCTACCTTTGCTTTTGGTCTCTCCCTTGCTTTTTTTCTCTGTGTTGAATTGTTTTTGTTTCAATATGCACGTAAATGTTAAGGAAAATCTAGATATTTTTTGTTAGGAGGTTGAGAAAGAGATTGAAGAAACCCCACTTCTGTTGTTTTTATTCAAAGTAAATAAAGTTATTTGCTTAAACAAACAGGATCTCAGAACTATCTTCTAAATACAGATCCATTAGAAAGGAACTTCCGCATACCAAATTCTCATAAAAAAGAATAGAGATATCAAGTGAAGCATCGACATGCTCAGAGGGAATTCTAGGGCACAAGAGACTTATTCAAAAGTAATAAATTGCCCCATTTCTAACACAATAACATCACTTGATATCTTACATGAAGCTGACCTCAAAAATGCTAAAGTTAAAAGTAACCAATTGCCCCATCTCTATCATGAACTATTAGGAATGATAAAATATCCAGATGAATTGGATATTTAGTTTGAGTCAGAGTCGTGTCTCCTCCTTTCCTTGTCTCTGTGGCGTTTCCTCTTGTTGTCAGGATCGTGAGGATAGAGCTTCTCGTGCCTATCATGCTTTTCATGTTTCTTTTTCTTCTCCTCGTGCCTCCTCTTCTTCCGGCTGCTTCCATCCTCCTCTGATCCATCTTCTTCAGAGTTTCCTGTTGATGGATTGCGCGTAACCACCTTGACTGGCTCAGGTGGAGCCTCCTTGGGAATAGATGGAAGAGTACTCGGGTCTTCCCAAGCCCGAGGTGCCCTGCAGCAAGAGATTCAAACCAAACCAAAGGGAGAGGGAATTTAGTAGCATGCTACTTACTGGTAAGATAGCCTCAATAAACCTACAGACTATTGCATGTATAGGCATATGTATCATGTCCAGCTGCTGTCCTCTAGTGCACCCAGGAGTGGAGAGACAGATAAAACAGCATGTGATTCTTACAGTATCCTAACCACAAGCATGGGCGAACAATTCACAAGTGTACCGACCCTTCACTGTTTCTATACAATAAAATATCAACTCTCCAGGCTGTACACCAGTAAAAAATAACTAACAAACAACTAGAATAAACACAAGCAAGCAAGTTCCTCACAGGCCTTGTCCCTGATATCTTTCTGTAGCACCTTTCGACCAATCCCCCCAACACTACACATACACAGAGATTAGAAATTCCACACAAGATGAGGATATGGAACCATCTTCATACCAAAAACAAAGGCCACCGAATCTCAATGCATAACAAATTTCATGCAATACAAGGATATGGCACCATCTTTGGACAGAATAATAATCACTGAATCTTGATGCACAAATATGCTATAGGACCAGTTAGAACCACACACGTGTTCAAATAGTAACTACATGATGCATGTATCCTTAATCATTTAACTACCTTGAGAAACCAAGACCATCAACCCGTGCTGCTTCTGCATGCCCAGCCCCCAAGTCCTCTACTGTAGAACCTCGCTTAACAAGTTCTGAATACTCATGTTTATCAAGACGATTTCCTTGAGGTCGGCTAGAGCGCTTTGGAGCTAAACCGAGGGCCTCCCTCATGCCCTGTTCTTCCTCTTCCTTGATTCTCTGTATCTCTTCTTTTAAGGCATCTGCATTCAAACTCCCGGATTTTTTATCCCTGGCGTACCAGTGTAAATCCTTTCCTGTAAAGACAATGACGGAAAGAACAGGTTTGAGAATTAATTATAGCATTTTTCAAGTCTCCAAGCAATAGATAAAAGATAATGTCTGGAACTCTGAAAACTAAACAGAAAGAGAACATCAGCTAATAAACTATTTTGACCATAACTAATCAACTAACTACTCAAGGCAGAGATCCTTTCATCATACTCCACGAATAAAAGTACGCAGGGAAGAAAAGGCTGCACAATGCTGTGGAATCCAAAATAAAATATTGGATAACAGAATAACATAGGCCAAAAACTACTTTGCAAGCAACCAGTTAGCTGCTGAGATTTATATCCCTAGAAAATACTTTTTGTTCATTGACTCCTGAGACCATTAAGCAGCAACTATGAACATCAAAGAGTATAAAAAAGAAGCTCTGCGTTGCTATCCATATCACACCACCACATCTTTCTCAAGACTCAACAACACAACTTAAAGTAGTGGATTTGAAAACCAAACAACGTAAACAAAAAAAAAAGAAGAAGTGATCCGCACTACACAAGTATCCAATAGCAGACATCCATGTCCATCTCAAGACCGAACCCCCACACACCTCAAGCGATCTACAGCACCACGCATGCTTGAATAGCTGCTATCATCCATTAGTTGACATTATTTAACGTTAAATAACAAAGACAAAAGCAGTTCAACATTATTCCAATCATAAAAAACATGCTGCATTGGAAAAACAAAGTTGCACTATTAATCACATTTAAGCTCTTCAATTTCCCAAACGAAGAACCCTGTGAATAATCTCACTTCAACTTCCCATTTATGCACTAAAATTTCATCTACAGATTCCGTTAATTAAGAATCCTTTTTTTTTTAACTGGAAACAATCAATATTCAATAAACCCATTTACCCTTCACTATGCATCAAGAAGAACAAGAAGTAAGAGCGGTTCAGCAGAAGAAATTGAATAAGATATTACCTTTCTGCCATCTACCAACAGGAGCTTTGATACTGTGACCAAGATAATTCTCTCTGTGTTTATCGGCCTTGACATCATCCCAGCTAAATTCTGCACATCAACAACACCCCCTAGCGTTATTCTGACTCTGAAAGCCAAAACCAATCAAAGTAAAGAAACCCCAAAAGATAGGAAAGGATAGAGCTTACGATCACGACCGCCGCGAACGCCGCCTCTGGTCGGATGATACATTATTTTATCTGTTTTTGATGGATGGAGGGGAAGCTGAGAGGAGGTGGAGAAGAAGAAGCAATTGAGAGGGATAAAATTGTGAATTCCGCAAGTATAAATTTGCTGATGAAAAGCATAAGCTGGGTGGTTGTTCGAGTAATTCTGATAAAGAAAATTACTGATTCGATTTAAAAAAACAAACTATCAACCGGAATTAATATTTTAATTTCCTGAACTATAATAATTATATTTTGAAAAATCCCGGAATGAACTAATTTGAATTTCTTTTTTACCCCATGATTTTTCAAAACTAAAAATTAATTGTTATTTTTTTATTTCAGATAATTTGGATTTTTCATGAATCCCTTATATGATTTTTTTGAAAATTATTTTAAAAAATATTTAACACTTTCATTTTTTAAAAAACATTTCAAAGAATTTTACCCGAATTAGTTTAAACATTATGGATGATTTGATTTTTTTTTAACTACTTCTAACTAGTTAAAAATTACAAATTATTTTAATTTAATTCATCAAATCAATTTAAAATTAGGTCTCTATAAAAAAAAAAAAGGCATTAAAAAGAGTCAATAAGTCAACTTGCAGAAAATCTAATTTGGTTATTAAATTCTTTACAAAACAATATTATTTTATTTTAAAAAAAAAAGTGTAGCTTTGATTGAACCAAACCAATAAACCAGTGACGTGGTTAATTACTGTGATGAGAATAATGAATAGAGCACAGCTTGGAAGGCTTGGTTTGGCAAAGCATAAAAAATGCTTTTCGGAGTGCAACCAGCAGGCTGCCCAAAAAACAAACGGGGCCTTCGTCCAAATCTTAATCAAAACAAGGGCCCAAAACATGGAGATGGGCCTGTGGCAAGCCCGCGTTTCTAAGAGAAAACTTTTCCTTGGAGTGGGGAGAGAGTGCTGTGAGGTGAGTTTCTACTTGGATGGCGTGTCGGAATAGCCATAAAACACCTTTTGGTTTTGGATAACTCGTCTATGATGTCTGAAGTGGACAGTCATTGTATTTTCCTGAATCAAAAGTTTTGATAACCCTACACCGATGCAACACCTCGATCAGTTGGACGGCTAGGCGGGCCCAGTGCTGGTGCCCCACCTTGATCAGTTGGAGGAGCAGGCGGAGTAAACCAATTATCTTCAGATGATGAAGCAACTGTCTTGGTATCCACTGAGGTAATGTAAAAAATGCTTGCCCTTTCTTCTCTTATTCGCAGGATCCTGTCGTAGGAAGAACTCATAACCATGATTAGAGGTTCATGAAAAACTTTCTACTCTCCCCCACAGATTTTAGAACAGGAGAAAATTCTTTCTGCTGGTCCTTTTCCAATTTCTGGGCAGAGCACACCCTAAAACATCAAGGGTAGGATAAATGTGCTGAAATTGTGTTTCGGTACCGGTAGGGTGTCGGTATGGATATAATTATAGAAACTTGGTGGCATTAAAGTGCTGTCAAGTCCAGTTCTAGTAACATGGAATTGCTACGTGAGCAGCCAGAATTACAATCATCAGTTCTTAGCGATTAGAACAACGCAGAAGAACATCACTAATTTACGATGATTTTGTAACTTATGATCAAACTAAACTCCATAACAAATCAAATCACAAGTCCCACCTGAGCAAACTGTCCCCAAATTCCATGCCACATATGATATCCCGAAAAAACTTCAGGATTTTGCCACAGGAAGAAGCCAAAAACAAAGTCAGGAAGTGTTCAATGCAGAACACCAAAACGAAAAGTTCTTTGCGAAGTGTTCATATCGCAAGGATGTCAGAAATAGTCCAAACCAGAACCAGTTAATCAACAGTTTAGATTCTCTCTGGCAATTCTAGCGTTAGCAACAGAGAAACCATATAAATTTAATGGCACTTACCAGGGTTGACTACTTCTCCTGGTAAGAATTTATGTGGAGCTGCCTGCCATCCAGATGAGTCAATAGACTTGAAGCTAAAGAGTGGCTCTGTAGGCGACAAGGTGAGCTCAGCGGATAGGGCTTGAACCTAAGACCTCACTTCCTTTCGTTTGGGAGAATATTACTAGGCTAAACATCTTTCGATGGCCAGCTCAAAGTTTAATTACTAGCTACTAGCTAGGTAACCTATATTTCCTTGATCAAGCACTTGAATAACCATACATATTTCTGTTCAACATCAGCCTCTACAGGACTTGATCTCGGTGACTAAAAGCTATCCCGAGTAACCATTAAAGACCGAAAAAGCCTCTACAGGACTATTAGCTCAACAAACTATAGCTAAAAATTGATGTTGATATCTCAAATTCAATGTAGAAATCCTAACATGATGCTCCTAGGGATTCCATCTCACTCCAGTCTCCACAATACATGTCTACAAACACTAAAAACAGCCTCTCTAAAAAAATGGAAAAGAAACACAAATTTCTCAGATCCATAAATGCTTGCTGCCACTTCAGCAAGAGGAGTCCAGAGGGTGGGCACAGGCAATTTCTGGCACATCGGGGATGTAGGATCCAGCCTTAACCAACAGTCCATACATTTGAGATGAAAGTAAGACCACAGTCAGGCACTAACCGTAACATATCACTGTCTTCATAATCCCCTAAGCATATAGAACAACAAGAAGCTAGTGAATGATTAACCTTGGATTGTAGCTTTGCTTGTGGATATAGCAACTTAGGGTGGCTTGCAAAAGTGGCCTCGTCGAGGCCAAGTTCGATTGCAAAGGAGCCTCGGTCAGTGATGGAGCTGCTATCGTTGCTAGGAGTATGAATGGAAGGATTGTTAAATGGCATGGATGCAGATATATAAGGCAACAGTTATGATTATGATCAGAAGCAGGACACCACAAGAAGCTGCAGTGGCACATCCTATAACATCAAAATCCGACTGATCACTGTGCTCAGTGGATCTGTTCACGTTTCCTAAACTAATCAACTGTGCTCTGTCGCTTTCAGGGCTTAAGGCAAAGCGTTATCCTTCGACACACAAATTGCAATTTGAGTTCTCAAAATTACTGCGAGCATTGTTCACTTGAAGAAGTGAAGACTGTCAAACTAGTTGACTTGAAAGAAGCTAGCCTCCAGTGAGAACAATGTCCAGCTGTCTTCGAAGAAAGTGGTGTTCTTTGAATCTTTCCAAGTGAAACGGAAACACGAAGCCATACAAGGTCATATGTTAGATAAAGGTTTATGAAAAATGTTGTATCTATCCACTCATTTTGGGGCAGGAGGGAGTTTTTATGGGTGGAAAGTGAACAACTAAACCAATTCTGTGGGTAAGCCACACACCCTTTCAACATGGATGGAGCACCATAGACATTTTGCGAAATTTAGCTACAGTTTTCTCTGTGTACTGAAACTGGTCTCAAACCAAGACCGACTGAGACATCAGTGATTAGGTTCCACTTCTGAAGGCGATGAACGAAATAACGAGTTCCAAGGAGTGAAATGGAGGACGGATAAACAATTACCATTGCATTTCTATTGCATTCAAGCATCTATTGGCTCATGTGTTCAACACTAAGATATAAATCATCTCAATGAACATCAAGAGCTCTAATTAGCAACCGAACTTTGTACAGTTACAGAGATCCTAACAAAAGTTCTACAATCATCACAAATTTTAGTGACAATTAACTTTAGTGCATTAACTGTACAAACCATGCATCATACAACACTCTCCGGGGTGCCCTGGAAGCTGTTTCGGTGACATTGACTGGCGTTGGGAAAGGTGAGTTTCGACATATTGGACAGGTAGGATGCAACTTCAACCATAGATCAATGCACTGTGCATGGAAAAGATGACCACACTCAGGTAACAGCCGTAGCAGGTCACTATCTTTATAGTCTTGCAAGCAAATTGAGCAACAAGAAGTAGCTACCAAATCATCACCCTTTTCAAGCTTTTCCTTTGCTTCAGAATAAAGAAGCTTTGGATAGGTATTGAGAGTGGCTTCGTTCAGGCCTATGTCTATAATGACCGAGTCTTGACCATTTATGGACAAGGAGACATCATGAAGAGAATGGCCTGCAGGTATTGGTTTCCTGGAGCAGAAATAGGAAGCAAGAATAGCAATTGCCATTGCTGAAAACACGCCAATTGATGCCCCAAAAGTGAGGGCAAACTCACCAAAATTTTGTGGACGTATTTCTACAGGACTACTGCTATTCATCTTCTCGGAATGCTTGTACGGCTAGCAAGAAGTGTTTTTGTAAACGGGGTTGGTTTAGATTTGTTTGAAGTTAGATAGCTGCAACAAGTGGCTGGGAAGAAGCAGGCAGTGTGGTTCTTCAAATTTGAAGCAGTGTAGGTCTTCAAATTTCAAGCAAGGAAGATATAAATGAGAGAGGGAGGAGGAAGAAGAGAGAAAAATCTGAAGACTCAAATCATATTAATCCTGTAAAAAATTAAATGTAACTTGCCTCTTAATCCACTAAACCAATCGACGGCTTCGCCTTGAAACTGCGGCTAGATGCCATCTAGTTTTCTTTCTAAAACTGGTGCCTTGTTTCTGTGGTGACCTTTCGACGTTATTTTATCTCAAGTCCCTTGTCATCTACTTCTCGAATATATTAAAAAAATATCGCATGGATACTTTGGCACGAAACAAAGAAAAAACTTCGAATCTTACAAGAAAAGATTTAGTTATACATCAACATAGAAGCATAAAATTAATGTTATTAAATTCGAATCCCACAATACTCAATCAAGCTATTAGTCACAAATTCAATTAATAGGTTATTGTACTATAATATAAATAAGTTGATGTAGTAATTGATAAGGAAAAAAATGGTGACAAATAAATGATAAAAATAACACGGAAAAAAAATATAAGAAAAACTTGTTTAAAGTAAAAATAATTGGTAAAATTTATAATCATATAATTTCTACACAGGAAAACATCATTTTCTTTTATTATATTTATTATACGTATAATGTTTTTTTCTCTTGCCCATCTGACGCAATCAGTGGTAAGTGCATGTCCGTAGAAATATTTGCCTTTGTGTCTCCAACACTCAACTTGTGATGAAAAAGAAATTTAATGTAATTAACTAGTTAGTTGGTTTTTAAAACAGTAAAAGAAATTTAAAACTATGAAATTAATGTAATGAACTTAACTAGAATGAGATGTTGTGTAGATAATGTACTTAATTCCGACCTTACCATTTAAGGTTAGCTAGAAATCAAAGGAAAGTGATGAGAAAAATTATCCTCGTAAACACACACACACACACACATATTTATTGTGTATGCTATCCTCGTAAACACACACACACACATATTTATTGTGTATGTAACCCTCTTATGGATTTGCCTTTGGTATTAAGAGGGATCCATCGCATCCTTTGTTAGTCTTTGATTTTTCAAATCTAAATAAATTAGCTTCGTAATTAAGGAAATATATTCCCTTCCTTGACTTTCAGAATTCAAATTATTTATAATATATATGTATATGTATATGTATATACTGGTTCGATGTAAGAGATGTCCTTTTAAAATTGTTAGAAAAAGAAATAGAAATAATATTAACACAAATTAATCCAAAAATATCCATGATTCCTGAGAGGAACTTTCTGGAAATTCTACACCACTTTTCTTCCATGCAAGGATGTCTGCAAACGGTAAGTGAGGTTCTG